ACTGCCCAGTACCCCTTCTGTTTGTCTGTCGCATGGCTGCCGTCCGACCCGCGGAGCCTCCTCCGTCTGACTGTTCGTGTGACCGTCCAGTGTCACTTTTCTTTGTCTGATCCTCCGGGGCACCCTGAACCCTCTCTGGGTTGGGTCTACAGCCCGCGCCTCCTCTGTCAGTCTATCTGGTCTGGCCTGACTTCATCTGTATCAGGGTGACCACCCAGGACAACTCTTGAGTCAGGCTGCCTAGAGTCCCCTCTGTCTGTCTGTTCCCCCAGTGCACTTTGTGCATCCATCCCCTCACTCATCTCGGGCAACCTGGCACTTGGTGGCTTTGGGGAGCTGTCCTGGGAACTGGGTTGGGGACCGGGTGAGCCAGAAGGGTCGGGGTTCTGTGCTTGTCCGGCTGATGGGATGGGGGTCTGCAGAGCAGGTAATGGGGTCACCCTCTGTTTGTTATGAGGGAGTTACCTGGACTAGAGGGCTGTTGGTGAGGGGAGGAGGTGGGTCCCACGGGGGCTGGGGCACCCTGCCCGGTGCACACCCATGATAAGGCCCGGCTCCTGGCATCCCTTCTCTGCCCGCCCGGACCCTGGGCCCTGAGATTAGCCCTGGCCACTTTGCCTGCTGTTCTTTCGCTGGCAGAAGTACCCGCCGCATCCTGGCGCTTGGGGCACGCTGGGCATTTAAGGAGGCAGAACCAGGAATCCTGCCCGCTTCTGGGAATTCTGGGCGGCAGCTTTCCAGAAACCAGGAGGGCCGGCTGGTATCTCCTTGCCCTTGGGAACAATGACTGAGGAGGCAGTGATTTGCCTTGGCCCTCATGAGGGACATTTTTTGCAAGGTGCAACAGATCTCCAAGTTGCCTGCAAGTGGCTGGCATTGCTGTGGCCGTGGCTTAGGGGCTGGATTTCAGTTTCTTAGACACTGAGGATGCACAGGCTGTTCTTGGGTCACATTAGGCTAGGAGCCCGGGTGCGGGGCCGTGGCGGGAGCAGGGAGAGCCATGTGACCCAGACCCCAGACAGAGGTATCCCTCTGCGGGCTGCAGTTGGGATTGCTTACAGAGCTGAGCCCAGAGTATCAAATGCAGTTTTGTTCATAATAGTTGAGTAGACCCGTTGACACACAAAAAAGGTAGTTCTTGGGTCAGAGAGATGTGAGGGCTATGTTCTCTGGGGCAGACAGGTGAGCCCCTTCTAAGGAGATGGAGTCAGCCACAGGTAGGTTTGCCTGGCAGTGGACGCTGCATGTGCAAAGGCCCTGAGGTGGGACCTCGTAACAGCCTGTCTTCCCGTTTTGTAGGTGGGGGGCTGAGGTTCAGTGACGGCCCCACCTGACCCCAGGGGGAGACACTGAGTCCCCTTGCAGAGGGGAGGTTAGGGTAGTGGAGGCACCTTTGTCAGTACACTGAAGGCTTTGTGTTTATGCCTTCAGCTTATGATGGGTGCCCCAACCAGATACCAGGGCCTCCACCTGTGCCCTCTCCCTGCATGTGCAGAGATCCAGGAAGAACTGTGGAGAGAGGAAGCCAGGGTGGCCCCTTGTGATGCCTGATAAGGTGACTTGAGTGAAGGTCACCTCGGCCTCAGTGCTCACTTCTCTTTTTTACCGAAGTCTGTGGGTGGTGGGGACAGACTCATTCTTTCCCTTAACAAGCCCTCGGGGCTCCCCGTCTAGCGCAGAGAGGACCCGGAAAGCCAGACATGGACACTCCTGTCGGGTCCAGGCTGGGGCAGGTGGGTAGACTGGGCTTCATAGGAAGAAGCAGAGCTCTGGAGGAGGGGACATTAGCTTTGGGGTTTTGAAGGACGAATAGGAGTGTATGTGTGTAGGGGGGGCATTCCAAGTAGTTGAAACAGCTTTTGCAAAGGTGTGACATCTCATGGCTTTGAAGTTGCTGAGACAGGAAGTGGCGCAAAGAAGTAGGAGCTCCCGATTTCACACATTAACTCTTAATTCTCATGCCAATTTTGTGAGGTATTTTTATTAGCTCCCTTTCCTGGAAACGGAGGCCCAGAGAGGCAGTCACTTGCCCAAAGTCCCCCAGCCAGGCAGCCTGGTCCTGACAATGGTTAACGTGGCCTGGGCAGCAGCAGGGTACAGTCCGTCCGGCCAGGGCAGCACATTCTTCTGACCAGAGTCTACAGTTCCTGTCTGGCCCCGGGGTGGCCTCCAGGCCACCAGGAATCTGCCTGGGGTGCCTCTTCCAGGCACCAGTTCCAGAGAAATACCAAGCGTGGTTTTGGTTTCATTTCCCAGTCCCTGGACTGTTGGGGTGGGCCCAGGTTCTGGGGGATGAGGTCACCTCCGGGGCCTGGTGGGGAGGAAGGAAGTCTGGCTCCGGGTGCTCTGGGATGGGAGGAGAAGGGTGGAGGGCTGGAGGGAAGGAGCATGGCTGAGTCCAGCAGGCTGGCCTCGCAGCTCTGCAGCTCACTCAGTGGGCCTCAGTTTCCTCATCAGGAAATGGGTTGGTTTAATAATAACGTTCACCTCTTTGGGCTGTTTTAAATAGAGGCCACTATTATTATTATTCACTCATTCAAAAGATCTTGATGTGCCAGACTCTATATTGGGTGCCAGGGACACAGAAGTGACTTGGAGAGACCTGTTACCCACCCCCCAGACAGAGAGACAAAAGAATTCCTTTGTGTGCAAAGGGGTATGAAGGAGAGAAAGCAGGGTTCAGACAGAGGGTGTCAGAGTGGGGAGGGGACTGCTGGTGACTGGGCTGGTCAGGGGGGCTTCTTTGAGGAGGTGGCATTTTAGCTGAGTCCTGGAGGGATGAAGAGGAGTGCGCCTTGCTAAGATGTCATGGGAAAAGCATTCCAGGCAGAGGGGGCAGCCTGTACAAAGGCCCTGGGGCAGGAAGAACAGGGAGGCGGCCCGGGTGGCTGGAGCAGAGTGAGCGAGGGGGAGAGAGGGAGGAGGGGATGGGTCAGGGCAGGTGGTGCAGGCCCCTTTGGGACCTCGGGGAGAACTTGTGCTTGTTCTGAGGTATGAGTGTTTTCCAGGGAGAGGCACCTGGGCCTCCTGACTCCTGGCAGCCCCACGGGACGCCTGGTAGGAGCTGGGAGGAAAAGGCCCCCTCTGTGGGCGAGGTGGGAAGGGGAAGTGATGGGGTAAGTGGCGCATCTGTGGTGGGCAGTGCCCCAGGGGACCTCCACAGCGCCCTTTCAACCTGCTGCGTGGCCTTAGGCTCGGCTTGTTTCCCCAGCTGTCACCAAGGGGGCAAACTTGGCGAGCCCTGAGCCGGCATGGCAAGACCCCATTCTTGCCCCCTATCATCTGGCCCTGCCCCTGCATGGTTACAGCATGTGGCCGGCTCTGTGTCAGTTCCCCCATCACACACAAGGGGCATAGGGCCTGGACTGGGAGGCCCAGCCCCTCTGTCCTGTTTGGCTGTGTGTCCTCAGGGGGGGCCCAGATCTCTCGGCCTTAGTTCCCCATCTGTCACAGGGGCTGTAAGCCTGGGGAGCCCCGGGCTGCTGACACCCACTCACTGTGTGACTTTGTTGTGTGTGTGTTTGTGAAGGGGGTCTCTAACCTTTTCCATGTCTCGGTTTTGTCCCCCCCCCGCTCACCTGGGGAGCCCTGGGCCAGCGTGGGAAGGCCCTGCAACGTGCCCTCCCCGCTCTGCTTGTCCACAGGCACTATCTGTGTCCTGCTGTCCTTCCCCTTCATCTTCAGCCCCTGCCTGGGCTGCAACGCCACCACGCCCGAGTGGGTTGCCCTCCTCTACTACGGGCCCTTCATCGTGATCTTCCAGTTCGGCTGGGCTGCTACACAGATTGCCCACCTCAGCCTCATCCCGGAGCTCGTCACCAATGACCACGAGAAGGTGGAGCTCACGGCTCTCAGGTGCCACCTTCGGGGCAGGGCGGGCAGGCGTGCGAAGAGCAGGCACGGCGGGGGGCCCAGGGCCACCCTCCCATGTCTGGGCTCTGCTTGGCTGTGCGGCTCTGGGACTCTGCCCCAGCGTGGGCATCTGGAAATTAGTATATTATTCAGCCATTGCTGTGTAACAAACGAGCACCAAGTTAGCAACTTCAAACAGCACACATTGACCACCTCCTGGTTTCTGTGGGTCAGGAGTCTGGCTTAGCTTAGCTGGGTTCTCAGCGTTAGTCTTGAGGCTGCAGTCAAGGTGTCGGCTAGGGCTGGGGCGTCATCTGAGGCTTGGGGTCCCTCTACCCTGCTCATGTCATTGTTGGCAGTGTTTGTCTTCTTATAGATTTAGAAGTCTTGGGGGTTGGGACTTCCCTGGTGGTCCAGTGGTTAAGACTCTGAGCTTCCACTGCAGGGGCATGGGTTCGATCCCTGGTCGGGGAACTAAGATCCTGCATGCTGCATGGCACGGCCAAAAAAAGAAGTTGTAGGGGCTTGCTGCTTCTTTGAGGCCAGCACGAGTCTCTCATCTCAGGGATGGTGTGAGCCCACTTTCTGAGGGTCGCCTGATTAGGTCAGGCCCACTCAGGATAATCTCCCTTACTTACATCCACAAAATCCCTTTACCTTTGCCACAGACAGTTACCTAACACGGGCTTGACATCCCATCACATTCACACGTCCCGTTCCCCAAGGGGAGGGGGTTAGAGGGGGCAGGGGGGCAGGCCATGGGAACGTCTGGGCCATCTTAGAATCCCGCCTCCCACACGTGGGTGCAGCTGGCGCCCAGGGCGTCCGTTTCTTGCCTGAGGTGCTGAAGGAGGTGATTCTGCATGTGATGGTAGCAGGAGCACTTATGGAACGCTTGCTGTGGGCTGGACACAGTTCTGGGCCCATCACGCAGAAGATCTTGAATTCTGACGACAAGCCCGAGAGGTTGTCATGTGCCCAGGGACAGGGTTGGAGCAGAGTGGGGCCTGTGCAGTGGGAACAGGGATCAGATGACAGTTCTCGGCAGGAGGGACATCACGCATGAAGGTGGCCTTGCGGGCATAAGCGCTCGTCATGAGGGCCCTGCCTGTCTGAGCCCAGTTCCCCATTACGGCCTAGAGCTGCGGGCACTAACGGCGGGGGTTGCTCAATGCCTGGGGCCCCCGAGGGCCCCAGCTGAGGGGGATAGGCTGGGCCCGGTAGAGGCCAACCTCTGGGCGCTTTCTACCCGCAAGTGCTTTAGCGCCTGCCGCGTGTCATTTTTGCCTTGACCTCTGCGGGTGTTCTTGTCCTCACTTTCAGAAAGGGAAGTGGACTCCTGGTGAGATCCAGAGGCTCCTCGCCCCGGCCAGGGCCCTAGGCAGGACATGGCTCTGGGGCTGCAGGCAGGAGTGGACTCGGATGACTCTAGACCATGGAGCCCTTGTCCAGCTGAAGCCCAGGATTTCTGAGTATCCTGGGTTCTCAGGCTTCTGGGTTGCAGGCCTGACTTGGCCCTGCTTTGCTGAGTCTCTACATTCAGGCCCCAGGCAGATGGGCCCTCACAGTGGGGTCTTGGGCCAGAGAAATCAGATACATGCAGGCTGGGGAAACTTGAGGCCAGCAGGGGCTTTCCTGGGCTACCCAGTGTGTTGGTGGCTGAAATCACCTGGCCGGAGGTTCCCCAGACGCTCTGACTGTACACCTGCCTGGGGAGTAAGTGGTTGCGTGGCTCCCGGGCTGCCCTGCTGAGGCCTTGCCTGTGCCCTGGCAGGTACGCCTTCACCGTGGTGGCCAGCATCACCGTCTATGGGGCTGCCTGGCTTCTGCTCCACCTGCAGGGCTCTCCCCACATGGGGTCCACTCAGGATGTCTATGACCAGCTGGGGGTCCAAGATGTGCCGGTGTTCCGGGTGAGCTGGGGCCCGGGGTGGGCCAAGGCTGGCTGCTGCCCGGGTGGGACAGCCCCAAGGCCCTGAACTCAGGGCTTGGGCCGAGAGTCGCTGCTGACCCCTCTCCTGCCCGGTCCCCAGAACCTCTCGCTGTTGGTGGTGGGCGTTGGAGCTGTCTCCTCACTGCTGTTCCACCTGGGCACCAGGGAGGGGCGCCGGCGGCAGGTGGAGGAGCCAGATGAACACAGCCCTCTGTTGGCCCCTGCTACTGCCCGGCCCTTGCTGCTCTGGAAACACTGGCTTCGGGAGCCGGCCTTTTATCAGGTATGTCATAGGGGCAGAGGATGTTGGTGTTGATGCCCCTCTCCCACCAGGCCCTTACTCTGTGTGGCTGCAGGCAGGGATGGCAGACACTGGAGCAAACGTAGCCCCTTCTCCAGTCACACCCAGGGCAGACATTACTAATGTCACTGCTCTCTTCTCTTCTCCACCTGACCAGCTAGGCAGTCACTACTAATGGATCAGGTGCCAGCTGCAGGGTTACTCACGTTGGCCCCCAGTGCTCCCCTTATGGGAGTAGAGGAGGGCCCCCTCTGACCCGTCCCTTTGTTTACAGGTAGGCTTGCTGTACATGAGCACGAGGCTCATTGTGAACCTGTCCCAGACATACGTGGCCATGTACCTCACCTACTCCCTCAGCCTGCCTAAGGTGAGCCGGCCGGGTGGCAGGGGTGCGGGGCCCTGAGCCTGATGAGCCACTCCTGACACGCCTGTGCCCACTGTGCCCCGACAGAAGTTCATCGCCACCATCCCACTGGTGATGTACCTCAGCGGCTTCCTCTCCTCCTTCCTTCTGAAGCCCGTCAACAGGTGCATCGGGAGGAATGTGAGTAGGCCGGGCAGAGGGCAGTGTGCCTTGCGCAACCTGGGCGACTCCAGACCACGGTCCAGCGTGGGAGCCAGAGGGTGGCCGGCGTGACTGAGGAACTGAATGCTTCATTTTATTTCCTTTTAATTGAGTTGCGTTGAGACCCAAGTAGCTACCCACTAGTGGCAGCTGTAACAGCATAGCCCTAGAACATCTGCCCCATGGAGCTCGGAGCACCTCTGAGGCTCAGAATCTCGGAATCCTCTGAGGTCAGAGCTGGGGGCTCCTTAGGGATAACCCAACTCAAACCCCACTTTGCTGGGGTTGGGGGCCGGACTGAAGACCAGAAAGGGCAAGTGCCAGACTCAGGGCTGCCCAGCAAGGTGGGCCTGATGCTGGGCTGGGCTCTCTGCAGATGACCTACTTTGTGGGCCTCCTGGTGATCCTGGCCTTCGCAGCCTGGGTGGCACTGGCGGATGAGCTGGGTGTGGCTGTGTATGTGGTGGCTGTGCTGCTGGGCATGGGCTGTGCCACCATCCTCGTCACCTCGCTGGCCATGACGGCTGACCTCATCGGCCCCCATACGGTAGGGCTGCTGAGCCAGTCCGGGTTGGGGTTGGGGACCAGGGCCGAGGCCTGGGATGCTGACCCCCTGCTCGTGTCCCCCCAGCACAGCGGAGCCTTCGTGTATGGCGCCATGAGCTTCTTGGACAAGGTGGCCAATGGGCTGGCAGTCATGGCCATCCAGAGCCTGCACCCCTGCTCGTGAGTACCCCTATCCATTTGTTCTTGCGTTTAATGAGCTGTGCTGAGGCCGTGCTGTGCCCCAGGCGCTGCCCCAGGTCTGCTAATTCCATGAGAACAGAAGACCCCGCCTCGGTGGCCTCACAGCCAGGGAGACCGAGTTATTCCCTATCTCAAGAACCCATTTATTTACTGAGCCGACAGTCTGTCCTGGGCCGGGTGCTGAGGACACACAGATGGATCGGGGGGATGTGAGCGGACAGGGCAGAGGGAGAGCCTGGAATCCCTGTAATTCAGACCCTCAGAACCTAGGGTTCCAGCCCCAGATGGTTCTAGACCTGAGTTTGCACCCTGTAGAAGCCCAGGATTTGGGAATGAAAGCTGGCCTGGTCCTCTGTCCTCATGGAGCTGGGGACAACACGAGCCACATGAATAATCTCATGAATAAATGTGTACAAAGGGTGTGAAGGACACCACTTGGGGAGGCCTGACTGTGGCGAGAAGTCAGGAAGGGCTGCCTTGAGGTGACGTGGGACCCAAGACCTGGAGGATGTCAGGGAGTTCTAGGCGTATGGGGAGGAGCAGCCTTGTGCAAAGGCCCCGGGGCAGGACTGTGCCTGGCATGGTGGAAGGACAGCAACGAGGCCCTTGTGGCTAGAGCAGAGTGAGCAAGGTGGAGAGAGGGAGGAGGGGAGGGCAGGGAGGGGACGGGTCGTGCAGGGCCTTGTGGGCCACAAGGAGGACAGGTTTTTGCCCCAAGGGAGGTGGGCCCGTGGAGGGCTGTGAGCAGAGGGGCGGGGCCTGAGTCAGGTGCTCACAGACGCCCTCTGGCGGCTACTGCGGGGAGGACAGACAGGGAAGGGAGGGTGGGAACAGGGAGGGGACTAGGATGGTTGGGGGGCAGGTGGTGACGGGGCTGGATCCCGAGGGAGGAGAAATGGGCGGTCTGGGGTAGACTTGGAAGGCAGAGCTGACCTTACTGACTGAAGTATCAGCTGTTGGAGGGGAGGAGGGGGTTGAGGGCAACCACTTGGTCCTGGCCTGAGTGTGGGGAAAGATGGGGTGCCCCAGCTGAGATGGGAGGAGCAGGAGGTCCAGGCTGGGGCTGGCAGGTACCCACAGGCGTCTGCTCACCCCCTTCTGCCCTTCCCCTGCCCCCAGCTCAGAGCTCTGCTGCAAAGCCTGCGTGGCCTTCTACCACTGGGTGATGGTGGCCGTGACGGGTGGCGTGGGCGTGGCTGCCACCCTGGCTCTGTGCAGTCTCCTGGTCTGGCCCATCCGCCTTCGGAGCTGTGAGTTGCAGGCCCCGCCACCCCACAAAAGCCCCAAACCAGCCATGGGTGTGTAGGTCTGGGCCAGGACAGGCCCCGCCCTCCCTAACCCCACTTCCACCCCCTTCTCTTGCAGGGCACCCTGGAGCCCAACCTTGACACCGCGCCATGGTCCTTTACCCTTTGTAAATTAACCGCGACTGTGAACGCTCGCTGCCCAACGAGGCCTGCAGCGGCCCCTTTGCTGCTCTGATCCCACTCCTGCGTCTGTCCCATCCCTGCCTGGCTGTGGGGGTCGGGTGGGGCTTGGTGGGCGCGGTCAGGGTGGGTGGGATACCAGCAGCTTCTCCCTAGCTTCTCTAGGGCGGGGACACTGAGCTAGGCCCTCTGGTATTCAGGAGCTGGTGGGGTCCTTGTGGGTCTGGGGTACCCCAATCCCGACTCTGACCCACCCCCAGCTGTTTGGATGATTCGGGGTGCCCTGTGTTGTGTGGGGGCCGGATGTGAGGCTCCTGGGCGCAGGGCCTGTCCCGAGCTGAGCCCCGGCCAGCCTAGGGTCTGCCGGGTTCTACTACTGGGTGCCGCCAGGCCCTGGAGGACAGAGCCATTGCGGAGCCTGCCAGGAGCCCCAGCCTCAGGGTTAGGGGGCTGGGCCCAGACCCTGGCCGTGGCGATGGTGAGGCTCAGCACGCCGGGGCCCCGAGTGTGGCTCCCTGCGCCTAGGCCACTGCTGACAGTGAATAAAGAGCCGCCTGGGGCCAGGACTGTGCCTTGGCCTGGGGCCCGGGGTAGGGGGAGCCGAGGGCAGGAGAGGTCATCTGTCTGACTCTGCCCTGGAGCTTGGTCACTAGGGTCCTGGTTCAGAGCTCCCTTCATCTGGCTGCCTGACCTCCCCAGGCCCCAGCCCCAGAGGTGGACAGATGCCTTGGGGGAGAGGCGCCGGGTCCCTGAAGAGCCACACCAGCAGCACGAGATCTTTATCAGTGACTGGCCGTGTAGACAAGCCGGGGCTGCTGGTTGGTGGAGGGGCAGCAGGGTTCCAGGTCCCACTGCCGGTAGTTCTGGGTGGTGTAGCGCGGGCGCTGGGGCGCCGACAGGTATGGCACGTAGTCAGATGCCTGCCACAGCGGCTTGACCCCGAATTGGTGTCTGTGGATCACTGGGGGGCCAGGACCCAGGTCACCGGCTGGCTCCGCCTCCTGGCCCCTGGCATCTCACCGCCAGCCCCTGGATCGCCTGCCCCTGGCCCAAGCTCACCGTACTCCTCGTCCCGGTTGGGTCTGTCTTTCCACAGCACGCTCCTGTACTGCGCGCGGGGGCCCCTGTACTGCACAGGGATGATGGGGTCGTACCAGGCGGTCTCCCGGAGACGCTGGGTGTAGGCTGTGGGGTAGGGGTCAGGGGTCATCTCTGCACCTGTGGGCCTCACCCTCCCCTCCAGGCGAGCCTGGTGTCACAGAGGGCCGGGCTGGGCACTCACCCGAGGGCATGCTGGGCATGCTGCGCTCCCTGGGGCTGTGGCATCCGTGCCTGTGGGCATAAGCCTTGAAGTGTGGGCTGTCCAGAGCCCGAGGGAGCATGTTCCAGGCTTCTCGGGAGTCCGAGTTGGTCAGGCCCGTGTACCACAGCTGGCCGGCCGCGTCGCGTCCCATGGGTGTGTACTTCCAGCGCATCTCCTGCTTGATGGCCGGTGTCTGACAGGGCCCCTCCTGGGACAGGTAGTCATTGCTGAGGGCGGGGGTGGGAGGAGAGAGACTGAGTTTTCGGCCCCCCTGCCCTCCCGGGGCCTCTTCATCCCCATCACCAGCACTGAGGGTGCAGAATGCAGAAGCCTGGCCCGAGGTGCGGGGGGCCTTGTCTGTCCTTCAGTACTGGACACCCTCCCACCCAGGCTGGCAGAGGGTGGAAGGCTGACCCCTTTAGCCCCTCCCCAAACCCCAGGACCTCCTAAACATTTTATCTTTTCTTGCCTCTACTAAGTCGTTTGCCCAGCCTCCCAGACCTGCAGGCCCTTTCCTCCAGGAAGCCCCCCTGGCCTGGAGGTGCACCAGGAGGACGTGGTCTCAGCTATGGCTCAGTGAGTGGCGCAGGTTTCACCGTCATTGGTCTGGCCTGGGAGCCGTGGGTTGGGGACACTGGGAAAGTGTATGGGGAGCCAAGACTCCCAGGGAGACCTTCGGGGAACCCTTGTGCCATCGCCACCCGCCCAGCTATTGGGGCCAGCGGGGAGTGAAGGCAAGCTCACATTTAAAGGAGAAACTATTGCAGCTACACAGGAGTGCCTGTTCCAGGGGCCTCTGTTGCCAGAGCCCGTCCCAGGCTGAAAGCATCAGGAGGGCTCCCCTGAGGAGGTGGCAGTGATGTGAGGAGGGTCCCGCTTGTGCAGAGGCCCTGGGGCAGCAGGGATGGTGTAAGGAACAGAGGCTGGCAGAGCAAAGAAGGAAGTGGAAATATGCTAACGATGGCAAAAATCAAACCTCAATGAGATACCATCAAAACTAAAGCTATCCTTCGGGAACACCCTCGCAGCACCACTGCCCAAGAGACAGACATGGGCACGTGCTTTGACCTGGGGAGCTTGCTCCAGGGAGATGCCCTAGGGAGTAAGCCCGTGGCCCCAAGATGGTCCAAGCAGGGCTGCTGATAAAACGTTCTCCCCTGTGCCTGCTTGGAGTTCCCACTCCACACAGAAAACCAGAAACCCACGTGTTTCATAAGAGGTGGGCTCGGCCTGGTCAGTTCTGGGAAGTGGCCGCAGGCTGGTTTGCCACTTGCAGGGAGGGGAGTTTGGGGACCGTCTGGCAGGCCCCACTCTTTTTGAACTACAAAATGAACCAAAACTACAAAATGCACCTGGCTTGTAAAAAGGAATTAAAACAGTCAAAAATAACACACAATGAAAAGCGAGTCTCTGTGTCAATTACACCTCAAAAAAACTAATAAAAGAACATCACGTTATGGCTGAAAAACATTTTTTTCTCATAATAAATGAATGCCTTTTTGACCTAGAATCAAGAAATCTAATGGCATTTAAATAAATAAAAGTACTGGAAAAAGCAGTGAGTCTCCCTGACCTAGCTGCCAGTCCCCTCCACCAGGGCCGCCACTCTTACTGGTTTCTGCTTCATTCCAGAAGCAGCGTGTAGGCACGAGCCATTCCGTCCCATCACACGCCTGTGGGAACCTGCTTCTATGGTGGTGGCACAGATTTTTTTTTTTTACTTAATTTTCTTGGAAATGGAGCAGCAGCAAGGGCACTGACTCACCTTTTCTGTAAAGCAGCATGGTGACCCATTATAGTTTATTAACGCTTATTAATGGGTCCTCTAATGGGTTGAACGTGTCTCCCCAGTTCACGTCCACCCGGAATCTCAGAACATGACCTTACTTGGAAATAGGGTCTTAGCAGATGTAACTTAAGACAGGGTCATGCCGGGTCAGGGAGGCCCTAATGCAACCCTAATGCAGAGCCCTGGTGAGGCTGGGGTATCTACACGGTCAGGGGAGAAGGTCACGAGACAAGGGACGCCACGGACTGCCAGCACCCCCAGAAGCTAGGAGGGACACGGAGCAGATGCTCCCTCACGGCCTCAGAAGGCCCCAGCCCTGCTGACACCTTGGTCTTGGGGCTCCTGGCCCCCAGAACTGGTAGAGGTAAATTCTGTGCTCGAGGCCGCCCCCTTGTGGGGTTGTTCCAGCAGCGCAGGGCTCCCGGGAACCTATCTGCTCTGCTGGCTGGCTGTGTGTGTGTCCTGCATGCGTGAACCACCACGTGTGACCTGCGTGTACTCCTGCCAGGTCCCAAGCCTGGTGCAGGTGGGTGGGGAGGGTGCAGGGAGCAGGTGCAGCACCCACATACCTTTATGGAGACTGAAAGACGCTGGTGGGAAGCAAACCCAAAGAGGCAGTGCAGGGGCAGGACGTGCTCACCTGTATAGAGATGCCGGGAGGTTCACTTCCAGAGTCCCCCGGGGGACGTAGGGCCGGGCAGCCTCCTGCCTCAGGGTCTGCATGTCTGCCTCTGGGTGCCCGGGGGCTCCTGCCTCCGAGGCCTGCGGGGCCATTGTTGACAGCTACAAAGGCAGCCCGGTGTCCTGGCAACAGCTGGGTCTGCTGGCCACCATCCAGGCCACTGCCTCTCCCCCAGCTGAGGGGCCGAGCAGGGAGAGCAGAGGCTGAAGAAGGAGGCGGGCGCTCATCTGGGTAGGGCCGACCTGGGGCTCAGCCCTCCCACCTCTTCTCTGTCCCCCAACACAGCCGCATGGGGGCCTCCAAACCCAACGAAGCTTCAGAATTTCCTTTCCACAACCTCAGCCCTACCCTTCCAGGTGCTCAGGCCAGCAGCCCTGCAGCCCCCAGGTCCTCCCTTCTCACCCCACCCCCGTCCAGTCCTTCATCTGTTTCCAAAATACATCCAGCGCGAGAATCTGCACACACGTGTTCACAGTGGCACGATCCACAACAGCCAGAGCGGAAGCAACCCAAATGCCCACCAACCGCAGAACAGAAACCCAAAACAGGGTCCCTCCACACACTGGAACGTTAGCCATGGAAAGGGGTGACGCGCTGACACAACCTGGAGAACACGAAGCTCAGGGAGAGAAGCCAGACACAAAAGTGTCTGATTCCATTGATGGGAAACGTCCAGAACAGGCAAACCCACAGACACAGAGGGTGGATTCATGGTTGTCAGGGGCTGGGAGGGGGGTGGGGGTGACTGATAATGGGGATGGGGCTTCTTTTGGGGGTGATGGAATGTTCTGGAATTAGATGGTGGTAGCCAGCACAACATAGTAAATATACTAAAACCCACAGGATTGTATACCTTAAAATGTTACACACGTTTTACTACAAGTTAAAACATTCACAAGAAATCCAGAACCTGCCTGCCTTTCACCATTTCCACCTGCTTGTGGCCGCAGTCCTGTCATTGCCTGCCCGGGCAGGGCGTCCTCCCTGGTCGCTGCGCCCCTGCCCACCTGTTTCCAGGTCTCCACACCAAGGGGAAGGGTGTCCCTTCCCCTCTCTGCCCACAGCCCTCCAGGGTCCCACCCTCCCTCCTGGGGTAACAGCCCAAGTCCTCCCCAAGGCCCTGCACAACCTGCCCTGTCTCCTCCCTGCCCTCCCCTCCTCCCTCTCTCCCCCTCGCTCACTCTGCTCCAGACACACGGGCCTCCTGGCTGTTCCTCCAGCTCACCAGGCACAGTCCTGCCCCAGGGCCTTTGCATAGGTCCACAGCCTGGAGCACCAGCTCTGCCCAGGTGTGTCCATGCCCCCCTCAGGCCCTTGCGGACACGTCAGCCCTGGGCTCAAGCTGCCCTCTCCCAAGGCCCACGCCACCCTTCGCACCGTGACGGCCACATGCACTTACACTCTGTCGTCCACTCCCTGACATACAGAAGCTCCTCAAGGGCAGGTCTGGGCTCTGGCCTCCCTTGTCCCCGGCTGCCCAGGATGGGGATCTTCCCTGGGCTTGCGGGGAGGGCATGGGGTGCACCACCAGTTGTGGGCAGCTGCTCACTGCAGAGAGCCTCACCTCCCTTCCTTCTCAAGATCCCTGGGGCCCCCGGGCCCGTAGGCCCACCCAGTGTCACAACCCCTCTGGTCCAGGCTGGTTTCCTCCCTGGGGCCTCCTGGCCCTCCCCACACACAGGGTGCTAGGCCAGCAGTGTCCCTGCTGGCCCCGGAAGCCCATCTGTCAGGCAGAGGTGCCACCCCCTCTACCCTGGGCCAGGCCTCACTATGTGCTCAGACCACCAGCCCCGGGCCCACCCCCCACTTCCCAACAGAACCAGCCTGGCTGCAAGGACTGGCCTGGATCACGGGGGCATGAATTCAAGGACCCCGGCGCCCCCTGCTGACCGCCTCTGAGTGGCCCCCGCAGCCTCTCCCCGAGAGCCAGCCATTCCCCACCGGTTTGTGACATTCAGGCCGCTCTGGGGTTCCGGTGTGTGCAGACTCCAGATGGATCGAGAAACAGGCAGCCCCAGCTGGGCACGACGCACATGGTTTAATGACGGCGATGCTGAATTCCAGGAGGAGCGAGGTTCACCTGCGCCAGGCGTGCGGTAGACAAAGGACTGCTCTCTTATTTAAAAAAAACACAACAAAACTCAAACAAACAAAAATAAAATCTAGACCCATCGGAATACACACATCTATGTACACTGTCCCTGCTCATCCCCGCCCGTCCCCAGCAAGCAGCCGGGATGGGCCGGGAGGTGGGAGCCACCCTTCCCCAAGTTCATGCAGGCTCAGCCGCCTGCCCCTCCGAAGAAGACCTTAAGAGCTGTGACCTCTGTCTCCCCCAGGGGTAGGGGTGGGCCACTGCTCTCCCCCAGCAAGCCTTAACATTTTGGGGACTGATTTACAGAAACACAGAAACAAATCCAAAGGAAAGTCACAGATACACATATACACATGCACATGTGTGGCTGGCTGAGCAGAGCACAAGGCCCTCACAACCGGAGGAGCGGGGGCTCCGGCAGAGCCGGGGTGACCAATGGGGCTCTGCGGGGCCCCCCCCGGCCACGCTGGACCCCCGCCCTGCCCAAGCCACGTCCATCAATGTCCTCCGACCTGGGAAGGGGAGAGGAGGAGAGGCAGGGTGGCTGCTCAGGCCCCTGGCCACACACCGGCCCCACCTCCCTCCTCCGTCTCACCTGAGAACAGGGCAGAAGAGGACAATGAGGTGGGCCCAGGGTCAGGGGGAGCTCAGGAAGCTTCTGGGGGAACCCTCAGGTGCCCCCTCCCGCAGCCGAAGGCGCAGATGGACAGGACCCACTAAGGTGGCCTGGAGGAGAAGGGGCTGGGGAGGAGGGCTGGGCGCCCACAGGACCTGACCCGCAGGGTCAATTCTGCCCTCAGGTTACCCTGACCGGCCGCCCAGCAAGCTGCAAGAACCACAGTCGGCTGTGACCCCGTGAGCGACAAAGACAGTTGGGGCGAGCCATCATGGCGAACAGGTCCCACATCAGTCTCCCTCAGACAACAAGTCCACCTCAAGGTGACCTCCTTTGGCGTGTGGCCTGCTCCCAATGCCGTGCCCCTGAAAGAGCCACCGGTCGGCTGCTGGGGCAGGGAGAGCAGAGGTGGCTGCAAAGAAACCTCTCGAGTGGGGACGTCGTTTCGATCCACGGGCCAACCTGAGCCGCCATCCTGCCAGGCCCTTCCCCGGCCGACCGGCCTGGTGTCCAGCCATCTGTCCCGTAGCAGGTGTGGGCAGCAGTGAGCACAAGCTTCCGGGCAGAACCTGAAGCCCCAGCGAGGCGGTGACGGACACGGACGGAAGGGGGCGGCATCCAGGAGGCGTCCATCCCGCTCCGAGAACAGCCGTCTGAGCCGGGGCCACCCAGGGTGGAGGGATCCGGAGGCCCCACTCCTGCTGGTGCCCGAGCCCGGCCCCGCCCCAAACACCGGCTGACAGGGTTCACAATCAGGCTTTAATAGAACCTTCAGGGTCTCTCCAGGACCGGCTCCCGCCCCACCCTGGCTGCCTGTCTTCCTCTGGGGCCCATGTTCAGGGGAGGGGAGGGTCCATGCACGCTGAGAGGTGGCGCTCTGCAACCAGGACGGCACGGCCACGGGTTTACCGGATCCTGGTGAAGAGGTTGAGGACGGACACGGATTCCTGCAGGGCACACAGGAGCGATGCTGAGCCCTCGGTCCGGTGACCTCCCGCAGGGGCCAGCTGCGAGGCTGGGCCGGGCGCCAGCCGCTTGGGCACAGGAAGGAAGTTCTGCCTGGAGGGACCCCGAGGCTCCGGGCCTGAGGAGGGGCCTGTGCAGGCACCTTGCGCGGCGAGTGCCCCAGGATGTGCAGGGACACCAGGTGATGCAGGAGGAGAGAGGGGGTGTGGGGATCCCGGGGAGGGCACAGCTGACGGGGTGACTCGGGCTGGCTGAGCGGCGGGGGCGGGGCAGGAGGCCCCAAGACAGGCTGAGGGCATACACGTGGGGGAACATCTGGCACTGATACCGACCCACTTTACCTTTGTCGAACGGGTTTTGCTAAAGACATTCCAGAACCTCAGGGTTTCATCTCCAGCACCAGTGACTATGGCCTCTCCGTCAGGGGACATGGCCTGCGGGAGAAGAGAGACCCCCTCTGTCCTTGTGGCCTATGGGCAAAGCCATGAGAACACAAAGGATGCCACACCCCGCTCTGTGCAATTGGGCAAAGGATTTGCTGGTTTAAGCACAAAACTTTTTTCTAGAAAAAACCAAAATATTGAAGAGTGAGTGGATTTGGGGAGGGGCTCCTTTCTCCAGACACGTGCAAGTGGTTATTTGGTGAAACATCTAGAGATGATCTGAGAGGTTGGATGTGGGTTATTCGTGGCATCTTCTATTTTTATGTGGAAACAAACACCTGGAGATTATAAAGGCAGGCAGAGCTGCCCCTGCTCACAGGGCAGGGGTGTTGGTGAAACAGATTCAGAGTGATGATGCTGCACCCTGCAGTTCAGTCCCAGAGCCCGAAGCTGTTCCAGATGGAGGAACCGGGCCCAGCTGGGGAGACTCACCAGGTAGAGAACCCGGTAGGAGTGCCCGGTCAGCTTGGCCACCTGTGTCAGGGATGGGTATTTCCAGACGAGGATCTGGTTCTGCGAGTAGCCGTGCGTGCTCACCTAGGGGACACAGAGAATGCTGTCAGAGCCTGGGGCTCCCCCCTCCAGTGGCCCCAGGGCACAGACCCCCCCCAGACACACCCACCGAGGCACAAGGACACCAAGGCACGCCCGCAGGGTGCAGAGACCACAGGTGTCAGCCCTCAACCCCACACCCTGGTCGATGACTGACTCCAGACAGGGAACCACACTGCACATGAGAGCCCTCGGGCCTCTCCTGCAGTCACTGGGCACAGGTACCGGGTCAGCTTCTGCCAGACCTGGACGGCTGGGGCCTGGCCTCCTGCGCCCCGCACTCACCAGCTCATTGGCGTGCTTGGACCAGGCGAGGTTGCACACCTGGGAGCCGGTGTCGATGCACTGCAGCGGCTGCCCCGTGAGAGTGTTCCAGAAGCGGATGCAGCGGTCGGCTGTGCCGCCGCCGGATGCCAGCAGCCCGTGCTGGTGCGGGGACCAGGCGATGGCCTTCACGGCCGCCAGGTGCTCTGTGTACTGCTGCACAGGGCTCAGGCTTGAGTGGTTCCAGACCAGCAGCTGCGGGGACGGGGCTGTGAGGCCCGGGCAGCTTGGCCCCCAAGGGAAGGCAGGGCCCATCTTGGCCTCCCTTGGGGTGCACCCCTGTCACCCCTGCTCCACAGTACGAAGGCTGGCGGGGAGGGAGGGAGGGCAGGGGCTGGACCTACCTTGTTGTCGTTGCCCCCTGAGGCGAGCAGCTGGTGGTCCGTGGACCACTTGAGCCCACACACCTCCTGCCGGTGGCCCTGCAGCCGCCGCTCTGACTGCAAGGGCGGCGTGCGGATGTCCCTCTGCAGGATCATGCGGTCCCGGCTCCCGGACGAGAGCTGGTCGGCGTTCCAGGCCAGCGCCCCTGCGGCCGGGCAGAGGGTGGGATGAGGACGTGGCCCGGCCCCTCGGGACCCACCCACCCCCGGGCCCCCAGCGGCTCCTCACCGACGCGTGCCGTGTGGCCTTCCAGCATGGACAGCTTCTTCCCTGCGGCCGCATCCCAGATCTGCACGAAGCCCTTGTGTGTGCCAACGGCCACCAGGTTCCCCTAGGACGACAAAACGGGCAAGAGCGGGCATCAGGCCCCTGTGTGGGGACCCCTTGCTTGGGCGGCCAGGGAGCTCCCCTCACCTCCCCGCGACAGTGCCTTGGGCCCACTTTTCTCAAGGTCTCTAACACGCGCCCCTTCGGACACCCCTCCTAGGAACTCTCTGGGCAGACGGTTGTACAGAGAGTGGAACTGTTAAAACCCATGCAATGTGGCTCAAGATCCGCATGCTTCAACATGTGGAGCGAGCCTGCCCCCGAATCTCTGTCACTCCAACCATCTCTACCAGGCTGGGGACAGCTGGGGGCACAGGTGTCACTGGGGCTTGGACAAGTGACCACAAGGCCAGATTCTGGCTCCTCTGGGTCTCCAAGGCCCCCATCACTGCCGAGGGCGCCTCCAGTGAGGGCCGGTCGACGTCCCTTGGGCCAACCCTGCCCAGCGGGGTGATAGGGCTAGTGTACTGACCCTCTCAGACCAGCCAACGGAGGTCACCGAGTCCCCTTCCACGGAGAGGTCACAGAGCCGGGTCACCTAGCAGAAGGGGGAGCAGTTGGTGCCCACTGCTCCTTCAAGATCCAGACTGTCCATTCATCCATCTGTCTGTCCACCCATTCATTCACACCTCAGGCCTAGGGGCATTGGCATCAGTGCTGGGACCCAGTAGAAGGCGGCTAGGGGGCTCGGGAAGCCACAGGCCAGGAGGGGACACACCCAAGCACAGGGATGCTGACTGCACAGAGCCTGGAGGGACGCAGGCATCACGCCCGGGGGGATCCCTGCAGCAGGTGTCGGCCACAGGCGTGTGTGTGTGTGTGTGTGTGTGTGTGTGTGTGTGTGTGTGCGTGTGCGTGTGCGTGTGCGTGTGCGTCGGCCTCCCTGTGCTGGCTTCGCTCACCTTCTCTGAACCCACTTGCATCTGGTTTTGTCCCTCAAACACCCCACCTGCAGGGTCTTTGTGTCCTGCAGACCCTGAGCCCACATGTGTCCAGCAGCCACTCCGAGGCATTTACTGCTGGGTGGGGAACACTGCACTCAGCTGGGCCCGGACACCGTGCCTCTTCTGCTGGCACGGGCGGAGGCTGGAGCTCAGGTCGGGGAGCAAGGACTCCTGACTCTCGGAAGCCAGCCCAGGGCAGGGATGGGCGTGGGCCTCCGCTCACCCCTGCTGACCTACC